CACAGGCAAATTAATGCCCCAGTGTATTTTGTTAGACACATGCAAATTAATGCCCCAGTGTTGTTGTTAGAGACAGGCAAATTAATGCCCCAGTGTATTTGTTAAACACAGGCAAATTAATGGCCCAGTGTATTTTGTTAGACACATGCAAATTAATGCCCCAGTGTTGTTGTTAGAGACAGGCAAATTAATGCCCCAGTGTATTTGTTAAACACAGGCAAATTAATGCCCCAGTGTATTTTGTTAGACACATGCAAATTAATGCCCCAGTGTTGTTGTTAGAGACAGGCAAATTAATGCCCCAGTGTATTTGTTAAACACAGGCAAATTAATGGCCCAGTGTATTTTGTTACACACAGGCAAATTAATGCACCCATTGTATTTATTAGACACAGGCAAATTAATGCCCCAGTGTATTTGTAAGACAAAGGCAAATTAATGCTCCAGTGTATTTGGTAAACATAGGCAAATTACGGTATTTGTTAGACACAGGCAAATTAACACCCCAGTATATTTGCTGTATTTGTTAAACACAGATAAATTAATGCCCCAGTGTATTTGTTTGACCCAGGCAAATAAGGATCAATTCTTCGCTTAAGATATCACTCAGCTTGCCTTTATATTTAATGCTCAAGTTTACAGACATTTCCTGAGGAAAGATCCAGATGTTTTATAGGCCGGCTTATATTTACATGTATCGGGTTTATAACACAAAAAAGCTTAACATTTCTACGACTAAAATGATTGTCCTGTTCGAAGCCCCTCGGCCTTATTGATATTAACGCCATAATTTCAAAAAGTTGCATTAGGGACTGAGCTGGTCCTCATAACCACTTCTGACCTTCAGCGAACATTAAGATCAAGCTTTATAGCGTCGCGTCTTCGACATAACAGTCTGCTCGCATTTATTGCTAAAACGTTTTCTTTATGTAAACATTTGTAATTACTCACCTTGCAGCCGTGAAAGTAATTATTTACCTGATTCAGTGAAGATCACAAGATAGTCAGCTTGTGCACAAGTGAAAATTAAACGGAAAAAATTTGTCTTGAATGCCATGGCATTTGAGCGCGCAGTAGAGCGAGATTACTTCATTTTTCCCGCTAATATTTCCGAATATGGTATTGCTGTAATAAATTAACCCCAATAAGTAACGCAGCATCTTGCTTGTGTTCTTTGTTCTGTTGCTTTTTATAAAGTCACCGTCAACAGATCCAAATGTTCTCTGATTCTGTTTTAACTGTTGCAAACGGAGAAATATTTTTACGGAGAATTTTTTTAAAAATTGGAAATAGCAGACGCAACATCAAATTGCTTGTGACCGGATATGTAATCAACTATCTTACCGCAGTTTGTCATATGCCTAACCGCAAGGGAGGCAAATGGCCGAGGGATTTTAACGCTTGGGCAAATGCCTGCTGTGAATTCCTGAACCGGCGTAGGCCTCTCATGTCGAGAGAAATTACATCAAAAACGTGATGAACGTGGCACGTCATTTCATCGCCGAAAAAAACCGCATGCTCATCACAAGACTCATTTGCATACAATAAAAGTTTACAACACCCAGACCCGTTTGTCTCACTATCGAAGTTTTGCTCTTTAAGATTCTTCTCTTTTTCGACCACTGAAGTAATCACTTGTT